ACGTAATCGAACGAAATAAAATATTGGAAAATGACTCTAAAATTGTAACAGCAAGCCTTGGAGAATTGATGCAGCGTCCAGAATCTCGAGTGCGAGAATCAAATCAAACATTTTTATTCAAAATTAGGAATAATTTTATTGAATCATTTTTTCTATTGAGTATTGTTAACGTGTCTCAGGTGAATTCAAGAAATAATAAACTATTTAGTGTTCCTTTTTACATAAGAATTACATGAGTACTTTATATTTACTATTTATATTTATACCTTTCGTCTAAGATCCTGTAATTGTTACAATGGGCGATTCTTCTCTTTGAGTATATTTAGTGAAGACTTAAACTTATATAAAAAACACACACTGTTCGACTTGACCTACCGAATTTATCATGGGGAGTGCTGTGAGTAATTGTTAGGAATGATACCTGCTGCAGATTTTCACCACCGTTACTCCATAAACAAAAGTTTTATCCCAACCATCTTATCTATATATATATATATATATATATATATATATATATATATATATATATATATATATATATATATATATATATATATATATATATATATATATATATATATATATATATATATATATATATATATATATATATATATATTTTCGCAAATACACACTAATTAAAAAAAATATCTTTTGAAAATTATATAACTATAGAATATTGTTATGTTTCTCTTTTTATTATATCAGGTACTTTTTTATATTTATCATCTGCACTAGTTTACTTAATGTCGGTGTTTTATGGAAACTTTACTGATATATGTTATTCTTATTTTAATTATTTATATATTTTAGTACTTACATATTTCCCTAATAAAGTAATAATAAAATAAAACCATATCCTAAGTATCCACAGTATCTTTTTAGTGTAATGACACTGTCACCACACGAGGTAATTTCAGGACAAGAGACATATTTTTCAAGGGGAGTACAATCCGGGATAGCAATGACGAAGCTTGGAATGCGATGCGATTATGAAACGCCATTTGTCAAGTTTTTATTGGGCACCCTAAAGCAACATCTATTGTTACAGTCCCCCCGCGCGCCCTGCTCGTCCCCTGACCCTCGTCTGGCTGACGTTAATTTATAATTTTTATAACTTGTTAACATTTTGTGGATTATTTGCGGTTGCAGAACAAACGCTGGGTTATCTTACGCACTCATTTAATTAAATTCCATAGTCATAAGTTACTGAAAAGAGTGATTATATTTTTCACCTTCAATAATACAACAAGTGAAGACACAGTACATATCAATTAGGCGGTCATTTCTTGAAGGGCTAATAATAATATAATATGCGCGTAATAACGCGCATATTATATTATTTCATGTGTCGTAAATCTGGCTTTTTCCTAATTTTTTTTATATCACTGAGGTGGCAAACAAGCATACGGCCCACCTGATGATATGTGTTTACCGTAGCCTATGAACATCTGCAATACCAGAGGTATTACGCATGCATTGCCGACCCTGAAAAAAATTCTTTACGCCCCTTTTGAAGAACCCCATGCTCTTGGAAAAATTTCGGCAGGGAACTCATTCCACAACCTAAGCGTTCGTGGGAAGAAACATCTCTAAAACCGCGCAGTACGCGACCATTGAGGCTTTAGGACATGAGGATGAACACCCTGTCGATGGCGAGCCGTATGATGGTAGAAAGTGGCTGTGGGCATCATATTGAACAATTCCTCAGCACTATTCGTTGTACAAGCGTAGAACACGCAGAGTGAGGCAAAATCTCTCCTAAGACTTAAGGTTTCGATACCGCTTGTGAGCCTGGAATAATCTGGCGATTATTTTTTCTAATTTCAGTAATAATTCTTTGAAGAAATCAGTTATATCCACAAAATAACCTTTTTCCCACACCTAAATATAATTTTTTATTAATACCTTTCCAACAAGTTAAAGTTGTCTACCACTGAATTCGTCTTTGGCTTTGGCAAGGTGGACTATTTTGGCTTCACTTGCAATACTGGTTCATTCCCAGATGTTACGAAGCCAAGAATTTTTTTCTGCAGCCGACTTGTCTGTTACCAGCAACTTTGTCCATTATAAGCATGTGTAGAAGTTGACATCTGTAGTATCTCAAGTACATGACAAATATATGTGTGATAAACAATAGCTTGCCCTGTTACTTAGTCTGTTATAAAACATTGGCAATTTTCTATATCCAATTTATCTCCAACATACGATTGTAATTTTAAAAATTATATTTTGTTCTAAATTAATATCCTATTAATATTATAAATACGGAAGTTAATAACCATGGATAGATGGATGTTTGTTACAAATTTATGCAAAAACTACGACACAGATTTGAATGTAATTTGGTTAAGTTATATCCGCTTATAAGCACTTAAAATATATATACCTTACTAATACTTAAAGCGGATTGAAAAAGAAATTAAAGTGAATCCTAAGATATTGTGGTCACATGTAAAAACGAAGCGGGGTGGTTCTAGCACTTACCCCACTTCAATGACTAATGGCAGAACTACTACATCAGACCAAACCGAAATTTGTGAAATGTTTGCGAAATATTTATTTCTTTTAAAACTGGAGTTTTCCCATCAGCTTGGAAAGTTGCAAAGGTTGTCCCTATTCATAAGTCTGATTCTGACAGTTTCATAGATAATTATAGACCAATTTCAATGCTTTCAGCTTTTCCTAAAATTTTTGAGTCTTTAATTTGTCCCCATATTCAATATCATTTTCGTCTTTATCTGTCGGACTGTCAGCACGGATTTGTAAGTGCAAGATCCACGTGTACTAATCTCAGTACATTTACTGAATCAGTCGTGGATACAATTGACGCTGGTAATACGACGTTATTTACACCGATTTCTGTAAGGCTTTTGATAGAGTTCCACATAGAATATTACTATATAAGCTTTCTGCGTATGGTGTAACGGGTGCTTTGCTCTCCTGGCTAAGGTCTTATTTATCCAATCGTTCGTTTTATGTAGTTTTGAATGGATACCGTTCTTCTTTCCACTCGGTGGTCTCAGGTATTCCTCAAGGATCTCATTTGGGGCCGATCCTTTTTAATATATTTATTAACGACATCATAAACTGTTTCCAGTTTTCTGAGTTATACATATTTGCAGACAACTTGAAGTTTGCTAGATTAATTGCAACTATTGAGGACGCATTAAACTTCAAGACGATTTGAGTAGACTACATAAATGGTGTCTCCAAAATGGCATCAATTTAAACACTAAAAAGTGTTTTAATATGAAATTCTCTAGAAAATTGCACATTATTGATTACAGCTACCATATTCAAAATGAAATAATTGAATCTAGAAATACCATAAAAGACTTAGGAGTGACCTTTGATACAAAATTAACTTTCGTGCCTCATATAGATAATGTAGTTAAAAAAGCTAGCATGATGTTAGGATTTATTATAAGAAACACTAAAGATTTTCGTAATAGTCGAACCAAAATTATTTTATATAATAGTCTTGTCCGCAGTATACTGGAGTACTGTAGTGTACTCTGACGTCCACATTATTGTACACGTGTCTTACGTATTGAACGTATTCAAAAGAGATTTTTGTGGCACCTCTCGTATCTAAATAATAAAGGAATAAAAAACTCCTCTTACATTGACAAGCTGAAGCATTTTCATATCATCTCATTAAAAAAACGCAGAGATTTTATTGACATTTCTTTGGTTTTAAAATACTGACGCATATAATAGATTGTCCACAAATGCTTCAATTGTTTAACTTTCGTGTTCCCTCTAGAATACCTCGGAAACAGATAACACCTTTATGTTCTCCGTTAAGAAGAACAGTGTTAGGAGCCAACTCGCCTGTACCCAGATTATGTAGGATTCTAAATGCTCACAGCGATCAAATTGATATCAATTTTGGACCCACCAACAGCATATATAACTTATTGAGGAAAATCTTAGACATAAGTTCTTAATCTACTTATTATTCAGATAATCTTATTGTCATTGTTAATAATTTATTATATATTATATAGTGCATGTGGTGTTCGCCTGTAAAAGACTTTTGCATTAGGCAAAATTATTTTTTGTGTTATTAAGTTGCATGTAAAATGTAAAAGTTGTATTTGAACCTTATTAAATAAATAAATAAAAAATAAATACCAATTCACTTAAGTTAAGCTACGGAATGCAGCTAGTAATAAAATATACTTCATTAATACTTACATAAGTTTACGTAATTACTTCTACTTTTTATAAATTGTATTAGCATAGTGTTGGAAATACTCAGCACACTCTTCTCTTTTTTTTATTGTACTAGCAACACTTCGCTCCGCTGCTAATTTTTTTAATGTCACGTACATGTGTTTAGCTCAACTCCGGTTTTAAATAATTGTTATTTATGTTTCACAGTGTATCTGTATATATATAAAATTAAACACAGTTTACAATCAAATAGTTTATTTATTAACTATATATATAATATTTATAGACTAAAAATAATTGTATTCTTCACCAACCTCAACAATCCAAAGAATCTAAAATTAACAATTATGATTGTCGCTATAACTTGATAGATACATATTAATATATTGTTTCGATATTAAATGCATCGCGGTATCGAGTTCCGACAGTGCGTTCATAATTCGCGCTTCACCGGTCAAAGCTAACCGGGGTGCCGAGCATTTATCTATATATCTATTATTCTAAAATTGCTTTTATTATTAAACCTAAAGCATAGATTTATAGTAAATAAAAATATATTGTCCATAGCTATATTTGTATATTTATTTATTCATTTGATTTGATTTGTTTATTCATTGATTAAAAAAAATTGAAGAAATTATAGTAAACTAAATGTTTGCCATGGCTTAGCTTCTATAAATCTGTATGTAAAACATCTTAATTTGTATGCACAATACTATAAAACACATGTCTATAGATGAATGAGGGGATTTTGTAAAATATCACCAAATTTCATTTATTGGGAGTCGGAGAAAAAGAGATTTAATGATAACCACATATTGTTTTCACACAAAAGTAAGTATATTTTTCAAAATAAAAATAACAAAAGAAACTAAACTCTAGAAGCATTTCTAGAAACATAACATCGTTATACTACCATATACCTCTGTAGGTAATATGGTCATTATAATAATATTTACACTTTTGACGATTTTTTCTTTTTCTTGGTAACAGGTTCCTCACTATCGTCATCGTCAATGCTCTTTGTTATCACCTGAGCAATAGCATCGGCCATGAACCTGCAATTAGATAAATATTATAATGTCTTCCATTATTTATCTCAAGATGGTTTTCATAATCTTTTCAAATTTTCATGTAATCGAATATGACCGTTTGCTAGATAAATGCCAAGACAAACTATTTTTATATATTTGGTCCAAAACATTATAATAATATTACATCAAATTTATTTATAATAATGCTCAATTAAAAAAAATACACTTGCTAAACTAAATGTCACTAATTACCGAATGAGAAGTGAACATTAAAAACAATCACTTACCTCAAAAACGTACTAGACAGTCTGGTAAGATGTTTGAGACGCTTTATGAAAGTAGAAGACGAAACGGGTTCCCCATGCAAATGGTAAAAGATGCCAGTAGCCACTGTCCCTGCTGATATATGCAATGTCCGAAGTGAAGCGTTCTCTGCGTCAAGGAATTAATTATATCAATATGAAAATAAAACTGAATAGGTATGGGAAATTATTATTAGAAATAGGAGCTTTCCTAGTAATACATTCTGTTAGGTTAATATCAACACATTACCCCCTGAAAACTATAGTGGTTAATTCATGATGAAATCGTTATGAAGGAATACACCAACTGATTTCTCTCCGCAAATTAAAACATACTTAGTGAATGATGAGGTCGGCCATCTCATGAAAATGTTAGCACACATCATGATGTGATCAATTCTACAATCTGGCCACGACATATGTATAATTTTAATGCTGTTACAACATTTGTAGTTTCTGCTTTCTCATTTAGATGAAATTGTAATAATTCTTATATAATATAATAGTTGAAATGCTAATATTTTAAAGACTTCATAAATTCACAGCGATCCTTTAAAATTTTGGTATAGTATCAAACAGAATTATTTAATTACTTCAGTACAATTTATAGTAAAATATATCACTACAACTTACCCGGTTTCTTCAACAGCGGAAATAAAGTAGAAGATTTCTTCACCAGTCGCACTAACTCGTCACGGCGATACTCCGCCAAATTAGTGAGAGTTCCCACATGTTCTATCATTTTTGAAGACAGGCCCACTTCCAGAGAAATCAGCTCTGCTGCCTCCACGCTCGAGAATAACGAAATTTGATAACCTAGTAAAAGAGTAAAAATACGAACATTAAAGGATATCAACAGTATTGTGTATATATTAAAACGCATTTACTCTACGCTAAACACATTTACATTAATTACCCTTTGACAAACTTTTATTGCATTAAATTACAGCTAAGTTTATTTTAGTAAACAAATAAGTTTATATTATGAACAAAAAGAATGAAAAGCCCTTTGAACGATATCAAAAAGTTTTACCTACTATAAGGCATCTTAGTTCTTACAATTATGATCATTTTTAACTAAATTAACGTATTTAAATATAACTAATTAATAAAATTAATTTATTTATAAAATATTAATTAATTTAATGTAAATAATTAAAAACACACTAACCCAGACTACTAAACACATCGTGTTCCATCGCGTTGATCTTGTCGACGGAAATCTCTAAGCCATGCAACTGCATGTACCGCTGTATCGTATGAGAGTTGAAGTTCGAGGTTGAGGTGTTCATTTTCGATGCGAGTAGAATGCAGCACGCCAAGAAAAATATTATTTGCTCATTTATTGAACGTTGAATTCTTTTCAACTCCTCCGTACCTGTTAATTTATATTTTAATATTTTAATATGCGCGACATGTGGGTTTTTTTTTTTGTTTTAAAAGGATTACTTGATTAAAAATATTAAATAATAAAATAAATAAATAATAAAAATAGTATATAATTTGCAAATTATGAAAAAAATATATCAGATATATAGAAAAATACTTGTACACTTTTATTACTTACTGTAAAATAAAATTTTATTACAACATAAACAGTAGATACGTTAAGTACACGCTTAACTAAATATTTAAATAATTTACTAACTTGTAGACTCGGTGACTAATTGACGAGTTCGGGCGCATAGAAAACGCTCAAGTAGACGGCAAGCTTGGCCCGGGATGCCTTTCATATCGACACCCAACCAAGCACTCACCACCCACACCGCGTGACGACTTTCACCCTTCAATAGGACGATCGGCCATTCTTCGCTCCCTGAAAATAAAAAAGTATATTCATAGTATTGTCCTGCTTCTTGTTAGTTCTTGTTGCTGCTGTCGATACCAAGTTCCAACCGTTTCGTCTCCTAACATGCAGCTGTGTCAAATGATTGGACGAATAACATTTTGCAATTTTGTATTACACGAAATTAACAATTATTTAACTATTATAATCTAGGAAAATTTATTGAAAATTATCATTCAATCTTAAATTACACCGATAGTTTTTCTTTATCAAACGCTTTAACAAAAACAGGTATTTTTTTATCCATATATACATGAGATACCAGTATGTATAGTGTAGTTTCTAAATGTGTGGGGGAAATATATCAACATATATTTTATAAAAATATTTAGCATAAATTCTTCAAAATACTTACAAATATTTTATTATTTACTGAGCAAGTAGATAACGTAATAGATTCTATTGGGGGGAAAGGGATTGTTAGCAATGGAGTTTGACAGCCCCATTGCTAGCAATATCTTATCAGATCTTATCAGGTCGACCTCCACGTGGTTCCCCCTGGAAACCATCGTGAACAATTCTTATTGAATTCGTCATGATGGGCTAACTGACCTACTTCATCCTCACCTATCATCCTTCATTGGTGCCCCACCGGTGTATACCGATAGCGCGGGTGGGGTAACCATTCCATTATCATCCATTAAAAAAAAATAGATTCTATTAGTATTACTACCCACATAATTTAATAATTGCAAAAAAATTAACTCCGTTCCGATCCATATTTCAACAAACTTCAATCAATCAAATGAAAACATTTACAATTTTTACACAAAATAATCTATCTATGTTTAATTAAAACACTGTCAACTATGTAAAAGAGTAACATTTTATTTTATAGATAGTATTTCTATCACCTACCCCCAACAGAAATGTGTTCCCAAATTGGTTCACAAAATAGCGATTAAAAATGGGTAACGCGGCATCTGTATTTCGTTCGATTAATTACATCAAGGTTTTTATACTGTATTAATTAGAATTAAATTTAGACATACGAAAAGATTAGTTTCATATCACGTGGAACCAATTTTCAACCTGAGTTTCGGTAAAATTAATTAAACAATAAATTTAGAAAATCTATCCGTTTATTTAATAAATTATATAATTAAATCATATCAAACAGAAAGTTACTTCTATTTTACAGTTAATTAGCTACAAATATTTTTTTACATACATACACTTGATATGAAAAAAAATCCAAAATTACGTAGATTAAAAAAATAAATAAAAAAAAATACTTAATATGTAAATGAAAAATCGAAAACAATTTTAGTATATGCCGTGTTTCGTACCTTCTTTCTCAGTTTCTTCAATTATTCTCTTTATCCAAGGAGAAATTGGCGCCTGCGACTTCTTTGTTGACATTTTCAACAATTAAAACAACTAAAAAAATTAAATCAACTGAGACAACTGTCCTGCACTGCAGACGAAATGCCAAAGAGCGAGTAATGACTGCGTTTTAACGAACCGATGTAGTTTTTTTTTTTTTATTTGTTTATCTAATTAGCAAGGCAAAAGGCTCTGACCAAAAATCGTAGCTATGACAAATGACAAATAAATGTCATAAAAGTAGCGAACAGTAATATTATCGAATTTGATAAATAACTATTCCGAAACCTTTGATAAATACTTTTTTATTACTTTATACTTTTAATTCGTTCAAACATAGATATGACACGTAACGACAACAACAGTTAGAGTGAGACATTACTATAAGCAAAACACTAAAGTGCAATAAAGATCGGAAATATATTTTTGCCCTACTTTCCGTACGTTTCTATTTTTTGATGATGCCAATTAATTGACAATGAAAAGTCAAACGGTGACTTTTATACTCGAATGAATATTCGATAAAAAAATATTTGTTAATTTACGCAATGAGGTTATTCTATGCTCGTTTCATAATACATACGTTCATAGCAGTTCTACGGTATCTGCTTTCTACTTTCAAGAAGAATAAAACTACTCAATGGTCGAAAGGAATATATTATTATTTGTTTATGTTTCTGATTTGTAATTTAAATATGTATAATTTAAATAATTGAAAATATTTATATTTTAAAGTATTTTCTGTAATACAATTTCTAAAAAATCTTTTGCCTCATTTTATTTATTTTTCCTACAAACCTAGAATCCACACAAGATTACATATACATATAAACTAAACTCCCCTCCCGTACGCGCACCCCGCCTTGGTGACGCTCACTTCGCAACGGGCCGTGCATTGCTTGGGTACCTCTGTCCCATTCGTGTTTCTACCGTGAAGCAGTTGTATTTGCATGGCTGTGTTTCGGTTTGAAGGGTGGGATATGGCGTGAATTTACTGGGTACAGAGGAATAACACTTGAATCTTTAGGAATGGCAACGCATGGGGGGTCTCATGGGCGAAACAGTATACTATGTTATGTCCATGGTACTGCTCATGTCTATAGGCGACGGTTACCACTTTCCATCAGGTGGGCCGTCAGCTTGTTTGCCATTCTAAGTTATATAAAAAAAATCGTAATATTTTAATTTCGCCGTAACTTTAAAACAAAACGTCCAATTTTAATCATTCGAAGATCAAATATTATCTACATAAACTGTACTTAGTGATGAAATAATTTATTTTGATAAGGATTAATAGTATGAGTAAAATAAATGCGTTTAAATGTATTCCAAAAAATTCAAGATTTTTAAATAAATAAATGGTTGTTGTGCCTCACTCGACATAAATAGGTATAGTGTGTCGCGGACTTTTTTGTAGATATTTATAAGATCTACAATTAATTAGAACATTTTATGGTTCTATCTTTTATAGTTTAGGCAGCGTACGCAAAATAAGTAACTTTTCTGGTCACCTTGTGTCCGAAAAACACAAATATTTTACGGAACCCTATTTTTTCCACAATAAAATTTAGCCTATGTTACTCGTGGATAATATAGCTTTCGAATGGTGAAAGAATTTTTAAAAACGGTCCAGTAGTTTTAGAGCCTATTCATTAAAACCAAACAAACAACGTTTTTCCTCTTATTAGTGTAGATTATATTAATTTAATTATATTATAAATTTAGTTTATATTGGTCCTCCGAATATTAATAAAATTGAGAATGATAAATATTGCGATCTTAGGTTTAGAGAAATAGTGTCTCAAAATCGACATCCCTAACGGCGTAGTTTATTTAAAAAATATCGCGGTGATGGTAGGGTATTATAAAATTTACTTGATGAAAAATCAACAGAACAATTTAGAATTACTTTCATATTAATATTATTGTACAAGATATTATTACCTATTGGCGAATATACAGTATATAGAAAAACTTATATATTTAGATTATGTTATATTGTATGCACATGGTTTTATAAATTTTTATATGTCCAATCTTACTAATATAATAATAATGTAACTACACAATATATGCACCTGGGTGATATTTAACAGAAATCAATAGAAGAGGCCTTAATAAAAACAATAGATGCCAAAACAATAATTTATAGAGATTTAGTTGTCTGTCTGTATATTTGTTCCAGCAACACGCAAAAAAATATTGTACTAAATTGGATGCGATTTTAACAGTTACCAAACCTTTGTTTTACTTTTTTTTCTAACTTAGCATAACAAAAAATTGCCCGCCATATGCACATATATAAAAGTGAATGCTGTGAATACCTATAATAGGCATGTGCATTAATATTATATTGTATTTAATGTTTGTTATACCTATATGTTATGATGCAATATGCTGTTGGTGTTCCTTAAATAAATAAATAAATATGTACTAATAAATAAATAAAACAGTAAATAATAAATATGTTATTATTATGTAATATATTAATACGTTCACCATAATAGAAATATTCATATTTGGTTATTCCACTAATAATTTACGTAGTGAAAATGCTCATCTTTTATTTATAAATTTTCTTTATTGTTTCAGTGTCGTGATGCCATTAAATATTAGAAAAATGTTTTAGTTATGAATTGTCATAGATTTTATATGTCAAACAACTATGTAAGATTTTCAGTTTATTAAAGCCTAAAATTCTGGCGAATTATACTTTCATTCTTATTAATTACCTAATATGAATATTACATTCAGCACGTACACAGTCACATAAAGGTACCTTTAAATAATCGTAGTTTGAACCTGTTTCATGATTTAATTTAATCATGTTCAATATTATATAACAATTTGAAAATGTAATAAAGAGAAATGGTTCAAAGTAAAAGCGAAATGTGGTGGGCGTGACGTCTGCAAGGCGGCGAATTTTTAGCTTCGACTCCGCCCAGTGGAAAATATGCAGGACCCGCCCATGCGCCATTACGCGTATCTGAAAAAAAATATAACTGAAATTCAGTGAGCTATTCTATTGGATGTACTTAATTAAATAACAAAATTGATACTTAACAATATTTCATTAGTAACTGAATATACTTTAGTACTTGTAATATTGTTCTAGTAGAATAAACTTGATTTTATTTTAATATTATACACTAGGAACTATTTTAATATTATATATTAGACACTAGGAATAAACTATTCCAATTAACCAAAAAAAATCATCAAAAAGAAATAAAAAAACTTCAAAATGCAGTATGTCTATATTTATTTTACCCTATATTGACTGTTGTTGTAGTGGATCATTCGACATAATGTTATTTCCGCTGAAAATATTTGAATCCTAAAAAGGCAGCAGACAAGACCACTATAGTCACATTAATAATAATAAAAAATCAGGCACAATTGAGAATCTTTTTGCTTTACAGTTAGTTTCATAATTATAATGTGTATAGTTACAACTTTTAAATAGAAATACCACATAATTTTTTCTAATTTTGGAATTAAAACTTTTAACAGAGATAAAAGTACAATATTTTTTAACCATAAATTTATGTATAAAGTCTAATCAAAATATTTAAAATATCTGCGAGTTTTCAGTAATTCTGACACAAAACCAAATAAATTGCGCTCTTAGATTATAATTACAGTTTTATATGTATAGACATTATCTTTACCATAGTTTTAAAAAATCTCTTATAAAATGAGAATTAAGTATTTACATTAGTGAAATTATAAGAAATAGTGAGTGAAATATTACATGGACACAAATTATTTGTTTTTACACCTGAATATTAATTTGTAAATTATTTATGTTTATAATTATTAAAGCCTTAATCATTACTTCAAAACAATTGAAAAATAGTAATATATTTAATTTTGTTTGTATTTTTTTACACCTTAATAGGACCTAAAATCACAGATATTAAATTGAACTATATAGCTACTTATTTATTTATCCAAGCTTAAAAATTTATTAATAAAAAAGTTATTTATGCTAATATTATAAAGAGGAAAATTTTGATTGTTTGTTTATAGAAGAAAACCTCAAAAACTGCCCAAGCAGTTTTATAAATTCTTTCACCTATAAAAAGCTACATGATCAATGAGGAACAATGGCTATATGGCTCACCAGACTTTGTACAAAAGTCGTTTGCTTGGGCACCTCTGTTCCATTCGTGTTTCTACCATGAAACAGCTGTTTTTGCATGGCTGTGTTTCGGTTTGAAGGGTGGGATATAACAGTGAATTTACGGGGTACAAAGGAATAACACCTGAGTCCTCAGGAATGGCAAAGCATAGGGAATATCATGGGCGAAACAGTATACTCTGTTATGTACATGGTACTGCACATGTCTATATGCGACGGTTACCACTTTCCATCTGGTGGACCATCAGCTTGTTTGCTATTCTATTTTTATCCTCACCTTTCATCTCTTACTGGTGCCCCGTCAACGTATACCGATAGAGGTTACTATTGCATCCCAATCCACTAAAAAAGTTCTATATGATTACATAATGTTCATCAACAAACAATTTCGTCAATTTAAGGGCAGTACCGTTATTTGAATTGACATAATGAAGGTTGCTTGCCCTGTGCTCCAAAATATTTTTACTTGTTTTGTAATTATTTTAGCTTTATTTGAATGCTTTGTTTTAAAACTATGAAAAATTAAAAATCTGGTAATACTTCTGATTTAACAAAATTTTAAAAGTAGGAGGTTTTAAAAAAAATCGTGAATTGTAATAACTGTTTATATTCCGTAATAACCATAAACTATGAATTCATTATAATGATTTTTTTTGTTATAATTGTTACACCTTACAATAAACTTACATTACTTACATTATAAACTTACGTTACTTATATTGTTACTCATAGTAATGTCGCAACTAATACCAAATTATCTTTGAATCCGATATGCTCCATCGCATATCAGATTCGAAGATAAATTATTTAAATTGAACAATATATGCATTCCAGGATTTTTATAAAATAACTAGCTGCTCTCAATATATAGTTTTGCCCCTTACCGTCACCTATTGGGTCTATTTTTTCTTATCCAGACAAAAATTGTCCTATTTTTCGAGTTAAAGAATATAAAGTTTTACAAAATTTCTTTAATTTGAGTTGAGTCAAACATATCCTTTTTCTTATAACACATTCTTTTTTCCCCAACTTTTTCGCTTTTCTCCACTGTTGTATTTATCCACTTTTAAATTCATCTATCTTTCTTTTTTATAAATATCATCTAAATTCATAAAAAAAGCATTCTAATTTAGAACCTCGTTTTAAATTTGAAAAACTTAAAGAAGCTCCTAATAATATATGAAATTTCGGCACCGACATGCCCCGCACTCCGTTGACAAACATTAGCCTACGAATGCTGAGGGTCGGTACAAATGACCCTCGACATCCATCACCCGCAATCGAACGTGGCTCTGCCGACGGCTTTGTGGCCAGACAGCTCAATTTCAAC